CATATTTCTCGGACGGGGTCAGCGCCGAGCGTTACAAAAAATCGGGGGAAGGGGAGGATTGAGAATTTATGCTTCCACAAAGATGATTTCAATGTGAGCGCTGAATGGCATTTAATCGCTTGGCAACGTCTTATGGAAAGGGACCTTGGTGAAACTGGGGAAACAAAAATATTACTAATGAAAGCTAGTCTTCAACTCTGCCAGGGCCCAATTTATTAATTTACGGAAGTTATATCACTGTGCTGATGGTAATGTAAACAACATTGAACCTGCCATCGGGTAGGGTCGCATGGCGAAAGGGTGATTGCGTGTACGCTGCGCAGTTCGCCAGTGCTGGGACCCGGTTCATGGTTGCCCTGCCAACCGCCACCCCAGACAGCCAGGCGCTGAAGGCCGCTACCGCCGCCTCCGCCAGCTGCCGCTGATGCGAGCTACGGCCATTGCCGCTCTCGCCGTCGGGTCAGTGCGAAAGGGTCTGCCCGCTTACCTGCCCGTCTCGGCAAAGGACAACTGACTCGTGGACTGGACAATGACCCCATAATATGCTGTGTTCATAGTAGTAGTTTGTTTATTTGTTTGCTTTTTTAATGCTGGGCAAGCCGCGCATTGGCTGTGTAACGAACGACATTAATTTAATATTATAAGCTTATTTGAACGAAATTAAGAATATTTTTCTTCTTAATCCATGCATGCAATACCACCGCCTCCTCGCATCCCGCGTTGTTCTAGAAAGGCAAGGCAAAATCAAAATATAATCCTTTATTCACTCAAGGAAGGGGGGATTATTACAATATACATCGATATTGCTGCAATATCTTGAATATCACTGAAACATATTATAAGATCTTTTTCCATTATCTGCGGGTTGTGCGCCCGTGCAACCTGAACATGAGTCGTCACTGGTTAATTGGGGTAAATGTAAACGTTAGAAGCGGACATACAACATTCCATATTTTTCGCACTGTGGAATGAAACACATGTCAAGAATTGATCCAAACTCAGGCACAATAGTGAAAGGGCGCTACTGAAGCCTCATTATTTGTCAGCTTGTTTTGTTTTAATATTTTGTTTACATTTTGTTCTTAGTTTAGATAACTGTAATAATTGAAAGAGTAGTTGCTTCTTCCCGGTTGGACCCCGATGGGTCGGGGGTAAATATAATGCAATGTAGGAGAAAATTGTTTTTTTCCTTGAAATTGGTTATTTTTTCATCAAACATTACTAAGCAACATCCACGAGATGTTACTTATTTATATACAGAATCCGGACATACAAACCTGTTTGGAACTGAATTTTAGTAAGCTTTCCAGACGTAAAGCAAAAAAACAATTCTCTTTACGCCAATGAACTCTATTTACTTTTTTGTGCATGTTTTTTTAATTCTGTTCCTTGTGTAACGACGTTCCAATCATGCAAGGAGTAATCTTCCTTTAACATAATCAGTCCTACGCCAAAGCGTCAGACGTTGCCTTTTGACCCTATCGGCCAGGGACTCAGCGCCAATTGTATGAGAGGGTTCTCAGATGGTCACCTATCCAGGGATCCGCGGAGTTACAAGCTGCTTCACTTCCGTGACTTCACGGAGTAGGGTGAAAAAGTTCCTAAGCCACGTCGTCAGACGTTGCCTTTTGACCCTATCAGCCAGGGGCTCTGCGCCGATTGTATCAGGGGTTCTCAGATGGTCACCTATCCAGGGATCCGCGGTGTCACAAGCTGCTTAACTTCCGTGACTTCACGAAGTTGGGTGAAAAAGTTCGGCCGCCGGCGCACGTCTTTTGTTTTCAGCGCCTAAATTATAAACTATTATTTATTATTTTGTATTATATATTCACAATAATCGCAGTGTAGCTGTGACGCTACTCGTCTATATACTAATGAAACCAAGAGAGTCATTCTAAATTTGATGAGTAGTGAAGAAAAGTTTCCCCGACAACACGCAAATATTAAGGAAATAAAATGTATCTGCCGTTATCACTAAAAAAAAATATTTTTTTCAAAACATTTTTCCACCTTTAGTGCAGCCTATCTGTGAAATCTGATATATTACAATAATTCTTAGCGTATTTGGAGTATTGGAATGTGCAGCAGATGTCAAGCACAGACCTTGACATTTTCTTAGATAATGATAATACTGCTCTCGCATTCAAACTGGTAACGCACAGCTCCGTTTGATATACAGACATTACTGACTACTTTTGAGAACAACGATCATCAAAATGGTGTTTAGTAGGATCAAAGCTATGGTGTTGATTTTTCTGAAAAGCATATTGTGTCAAATTTTATTTCGCATCAATAGGTCTACTGGAAAATCTTCTTGTTGAAAGGGCATATTTAGTCAATCTGATTTGCAGGCCGTCATTAAAAAACTACATTTTCTCTATTACATATTGACAGACTGGGCAAGAGATTGCAATTTTATAGGAGATTCGCCTTCTTCGAAAAAATTAAAGTTTCATATTTTTGAAGTTAAAAAATACTTAATTTTACTTTACATTAAGAAGTTAATACATATTTATTATAATAAATACAATAATATAAATTTTCTACATGTGTCCAAATAAAATATTAAAAATGTCATAGTCCCATCTGTTGTATTTCGCAAATTATTAAAAAATCAGTGTGGTAAAGCCGAAGAATATATTTTTTCATGTATGATTTAACCACCATTAGCACACATTTAGTTGCTAACTGAAAGATAGAGACAAGTTTCCTCGAAAGGCTGTAATCAGCCTGGGAAACTTTGCGCGCCGGGGAATTCATCCTTCCTCACCCCTTGGAATCACACTGTGTGGTCTTACCTCACTACAATATTTGTATAAAATTTGTGATTTGCTGAGGCGTTGATGATGAGGTCTCATCGAGAGATGGTTTTGATAGAAAATGTTTATGTTCCAAAATCGCTTAGCATCAAATTTTGTATTTTAATATTCAATAATTCCCGTTTTACGTAGTCACTAATGGTTCCGGCAAAAAATTACAATAGTACAGCAAAAATACAAAATATGAAAAGCAAACATCACATATAATGGTGCTATTCGCTTTGAAGTAAAATATGATTTTCTTCTTATGAAGAAATGTGAGCATGCGTGCAACTTTTCTATTGATATGTAATGACACTACATCCCGACGCAAGAACATACAAAATCAACAGTTATTACATTCTTCCACTTCTTATTGTGTGACGGTTCAAACTCGCCAGGGTTTCTGACCGTCATCTACGGAGTTATCAACTACTCTAAGTGATGACGTCGTAATATCGGGCAATACGCTACATTTCAAAATAACGCCTCTCACTGATTTCCTACAAAATCCTATCAGGTACATATTTTTGGAGAAATAATGAGGATATATGAATTACTTCTATCTCTGAGAAAAGACCATGTTAATTCCTACAATTTTGATTGCAAAGCTTACGTTCCGTGTGTGCAAACAATAGAGATCTATCTCCCAGCAATATTATAAAAACAAATCTGTAGTTATTTTGCCAATGAAAATACGATTATTTTACAATCGTATAAAAAGAGGTATTTTACATACCGCACCGCGTACGTGAAGTTATTTTCTAAAGGCATCTGGAGAATGTGACGTCATCATGTGAAAGGACGTCATACATCAAGTTGGTGAACGAAGATCAATAACCATGAAGAGAAGAGATGAAACAAATAATGATTCACGATAGAAGTATTTTTATATGCTTTAAATTACTTTTATTAAAAAAAATAAAATCTTTGATATATTTTTTTTAGATCTAAAAACTTATAATGCCTGGGCTAACGCCTCCGACAGCAGCGGAAGAATTACGCAGAAAATCTCCGACATAGGACTGTAGATGATTCGCAAAAGGTCGTCTAATACGACGAATCCTTCTTCCTGGTTCATTACATCGACATGACAGATTGGACTTCTAACCGACAGCACTTAGTTATTACTTGTTCTAAACGTTAAATAAATAGACGGTCGAGTGCGTTATCACCGATTATCATGCAAGATTATGGCACTCTAATGCAATATTGAAGGAGACAGGCTGGAGAGAGTGGTGTGATGGGGTAATAATTTAACGGCAAACACCATAGTCCATCATTCCAGTGAAACATTACCTGATACCTATCTGGTTCTGAACGTTAATAAGAACAATCCGTTCATGACGTTCATCCGAGTATGTCGATAATGTCCAGACACTGGCTGAGTAGCCACTATTGCAGAAGCACTATTCAGAAGCGAATTAGACCAGGTCCTAGTGTTCGAGTCTCGACAGTAGAGGATTTTCGACATTAGCTGTATAGCTTGATCGAATTCAGGCGCCGTCTTATAGAGATTTCTAGTGTGTGCTCTGATCGGTAGTTTTGCGTGGTTTCTCCGGTCAATTTATGCCGACTGACGTGGCTCAGAGCATCCACTGATGTCACTGCAGTGTCTCTAACAGGAAGTACTAGGGTTTGAGTCCTGACGATGGCAGGATTTTCGACGCTAGCTAGATTGAATCTAGCCATTGTCAGGAGGATAATCCTAGAGGCCGGCTGTTCATATCGGTAGTTTTCCGTAGTTTTTCTGATCAATACCAAGCCAATGCTGGAGCAGAATCCGAACAAATGGACCGAGTGCGATTTTTCCTTCCTCTTCCTTGTTCTGTCTTCATCCCTTACACACGCATGTATTATTCCACGCACTACACAACCACACTTGCCGGGAGTAAGCTTGTTCCGGCCAATGGAATGCTCCGCGGGGGAGGGGGTGATACCTGGGATGAATTCCTCCGGACGCCGACGTGTATGGCGGCGCCAGATCGCACCATCCAGCAAGAAAAGAGTTACTGTCACTGCTCAGAACCAAACATTTACTACACTAACGGGACAGCAGTTGATGAGCCGGAAAACATCAATTAATCAATATTTTCTGCTGCCAAAGGCTACTTCCAACAGGACAATGTACCATGCATTGCCAGGATTGTGAAGGACTGGTTCAAGGGACATGATAATGTATTTGAATTAATGCTCGAGCCTCTAAATAGTATGTATGTATATATGTAAAGTACTTATTATTGAGGGGATCCCTATACTTTTATTAATTCGAGAGATATTTTAATATCCCACTTCACAATTTTCTTTGAGTAGGATTGTGAAATAGGTTACTGCCTTTCTGAAATTAAATGATAGAAGATATTCAGGTGAAATTTATAATTACAAGTGTTTTTATATAAAACAAATTTAGAACATAGAACATATTGTGATATTTGGATAATATAAAATAAAATAGCACAATTTGATTTTAGGAACAACATTTCTCAGTTCCACAACTAGCTTACAATAGAACAGACATAAGTGTATACATCTTAAGAGGAGGATTTCAGGGATTATGAAGGACAGTTTTGAGGGAGATGACTAATGAATTTGCATTAATGCTCTAGCCTCCAAATAGCATATATATGAACTCTATTGAAGACGGTAGTACAACTTGGTGAAGAGGTTTCACACTACATCACCAGAACCCTGCTCTGTACGTCAATTAGAAGTCTTGCTGTTAACCTTGTGGTACCATACTTCTCAGGGTATCTTCTATAATGTTGAATTGATTATGAAAAAAGATTGTGATGAAATGGAATAAAATCAGAAAATGAAATCTTCCAAAATATTTTTTATTGAACACTTCTCAATTGCCGACATGAAGAGAATAAAACAAAATATGCAGATGAGTATTTCAATTAATAGCTGAAGGACCATGAACCCATTTGTCCAATACATCGTCCTGCAAAAACAATAGAGCTTATGAAAATAATAATTTAAATTTGATTGTAAAAATTACTTCACAATGCTATACAATTTGTAAGTATGGTATACAGCAAATTAATACAAAATATTTTCTGAAATATGATGATATAAAATACCTATAAGGATGAAATCATGAACTATAGAAGTCACTTGTTGCCAATGGAAGTAAAGGGATTAGAAGAAAAAACTGTCCTAATGTTTGTCTATCCTCAAAAATAGTTTTGTTAAAGTTAATACAAGGTCACTATTTACCATCTTCATCAAACGTTGCAAGTGTAAGTTTACTCAGTTTGTTGCTAAGGCAGGATTGGGGTTGTTCCCTGCGACTAACCATGGTCAGTGGAACTTGTGTGTCTGAAACAAGATATCATAATTATTTTCCATCTGCTTGAAACTAAATAGTATTTTACAGCAGAGGCTGACTCAAACTTATAAGTGGTTTTTGTCTTGGTTTGATATGAATATGTAGTCATTTCAGCAAATAATTATTGAACAAGAACAATATTTTTGGTTTCAAGAAAGACCAAAAATTGTAAATAAAATTTAAACCCATCTTTGTTTTTGTTCTTTCTTTCATTATTTCATTCTTTATTATCAAAATTTTTAAAAAACGTTATTGCACCATAAAACACTATACAAATTGTATATTCCCCTAAATATTATAAAAAATTACTTATAGAAATAAACAAAGTCCAGGAAAACATAGGGATTTAAAATTTACCATAAATAAAATAAATGAAAATCTAATAGGAGTGCATGACATAAAGTGCTTTTTTTTTGTGCCCTCCTGTTTGTCTAGTTCCAATGTCAGTACACAGTGGTGGTAATGGCACACATGGACTACTAATGTCAAGTTGCATACTAAAACCTCACCCTAGTGGAAGGATGTTTACAATGTCATGCAAGTTGGTGATTTTATGGCTTTTGAAAAATATCCTTGGAATGCCTCTAAGGCATTTCCTGGGGGAAAAAAAATCCATGAAGTCAAAAGTACCAACACAGAGTTTTACTTTATTGCAACGAAAGCAGCAAATAGAGGAACAAGGTCCTATGCAATGTAGCAATTGAATGAGTATCCACTTTGGCACACCAGTGTATGCAGTGGAAGCAAGGGCAAACTTCTCCAGGATTAAATTGTCCGAGAAGCTCAATGATATAAAAGCGAGCTTCAACTGAGATGTAAAACTTGCATTCAATCAGAAGATCCCTCATAAAGTCATTAAAGTATACATGTACTACATACATTATGTTCAAGCATGCATGCTTAATGCCATTTGAGCATGTACCTTTTCACCATTCATTAGAAATATTATCATTAACATTGTTATTATTCTTATTACTATTATTGTTATTGTTATCTTAATAGATTTCAGAATATGCATTATATAGTTATTAAGTAGTAATGTAAAAAACAATTCTGTTTATCAAACACATTTATATTTGTTTTTTATGTGTCCTGATAAATATTTTAATTTTCTTATACATTTAATGACACTTTACAATACTGTAAATAAATTAAGTATAGTTTAATTCAGTTATGGTTACTTTGATGATAGAATACATCAAGATCCAGAAAACTGTTTTGAAAGAAATTTTTGAATTCAGATGTGACAAAACTTTGAAATGTTACTTGAATGTTTTAGAGAAATTAGTAATGTAATAATTATAATAATTTATGAGATGAATAAAATGTGTAGGTGTGTTAAGTGATAAGACTTGACGAGATCAACAGAAAAAGAAACAAATATACAATGTTCACATCGTAATTTGGCTTTACAACAAACTAATGACGGACTGTTCTTAAATTGAATGCCCATATGTTATCTCTATATGATGCTAATAATGAGCCCATGATTGTTCACAGCCAATTTACTTTATTTACATTTAATACTTAAACCAAAGTATTGAATACAAATAAGAGGACTTATTTTTGGGTACTAATGCAAGAATAATATTGATAAAAAATATAATTGACAGTATATACAAAACCATTCTGATTTAAGATGGATCACTTTCTGCCTAATACAGAATTAGTATACGTTTAGTGCAGGAGTAGATCTAGAAAGTATTTCAGGCAGGGCCAATTTCCATTTGGACACCACTCCTTTCCCAAAAATATTTGAAACAATAAAATATGATTAAAAACAAATATTAACATGAAATAAAAAGTAAATATTGAAGACAGGAAAATTCATTCCTTTCGATATGAAGTAATCCAGATGTGGTAATTTGTTTGGATAAACTAAGTAAAGTTAAAACAAAACTTCGCTTTGGGGGGTATGATTCCCATGGCCCCTCTATTGACTTAGAGATTAATTTGAAGCATTAATGAGTAGGTACCAAGAAATTATACGAGTTACTTTAAAAGAATACAGACAATTTCAATTGTAATAACAATAATATCAGAATATAATATGTTTTTTCAATGAATTATTTCCTTAGACCCTTTCAATTTTAGAAGCTTCTTTGAAAGAAGAATTAAAAAATAATATTGTCATTTGTTATGCAATATGAGTAAAAAATATGTCAAGTGAGATTGAAAATCAAGTCACTAATTTCTCAAAACTAAAACAATGTAATAAATATTTTTAAAATAAAGGTTTTCTTAAAACAAAAACTTTATAATATAATGGTGAAAAGTGAATAAATACAATAAATATTTTAGGGAAAAAATGTACAAGTGAGAAAATGCATAACTGAAATTGAATATTATGAAAAAACCCAAAAACTCAATATTTGTATGGTGCGCTCCACTATTGGACCAATGTTAATTTTGATTTATTTAGATATCAAAGAACAGTAAAAACTGTATGTGATGTATGGTGGAGAAGTACCATCTGCAGACATTTTCTTGAGTTCCAGAATATTTTCCCAACATTTTAACTATAAATAGTGGAATGATGAATAAAAGTTTCAAAACAAGCAAAGTTAGCAGCTTTTGAAAACTAGACATATTCGCTCACAAGTTATAGAAAACGTTTTTGCATCATTAAATAAACTGCAGATTTTATTTTATTCTTGTATTGCTAACAAGAACGACACTCCCCACCCACAGGCTCTTCTCATACCACTACAAGCAAAAGGTAAAGCTACATTTAGGTCCAGAAGCAAAACAAAGGGCTATCCCAGCATTTGCTCAATGGATCACTGAAACTGGACAAAAAACCTGAATGAGACCGGAAGTATGGTACATTACTTATTACTTGGAAGACACACGGGCCAGGCATAGGCATGCCAGGTGGAAAAGATAGCTCTGATATTTGCACTTTATGCAGCCAATCCTGTAGGTCTGTGTCATAGGAGCATTGCGTTGACATGCATCACCTAACGGTGACTTTAGCTGTGTTGACGTGTGTTGATGCCCGTGCACACGAGTCGCTTAATGTGTGTCGTAGATTAACACTGTATCTTATGCGAAACGGCAAACGAGCTGTGTTGGTAACGTGTGTTATGTCCACATTTCAAGGTACATGGCATGACGACATAAGTTTAAATATGAGTATTGTTACAAAATAAGTATATGAATAGGTAATAATGTGCCATAAGGAAAGTTTTACAGTGTTGTAATAGTACCCTAATATTTCAAGAGAATGAAAAATATGACTGGTAACAGACATTGGAAAAACTTACAGTTTTATGTAAAGAATAATTTCAACCACATAATCAAACATCAGTTATGTATCAGTGAATATGTAATACGATGATGACGCTGAAGACAAAAATATATTGCTTCATAACTCCCTTGTAACTTAGAAAATGTTACCTACTAGTAAGTTTATGAACCATACCATCACTATCAGTAGAAGTATCATACAGAGGCCTTTCACTTTCCTCAACGTAAGCTGTTCTCTGTTTCAGTTCTTCAACAAATACTGATATAAGTGTGTCCATCATTGGGGCCTGCAATACACATGAGTACATGAGTTGAAAAGTTACACAATTATAAAAAATGAGAAATGTAATGAGTGAAGCAATGAGTGAATGTAAATCAATATTCACCTGTTTAGAAAATACTTGCAAAATTTTTGATACTCGTGTTCCGTTTTCTAATACCATAAATTGAAGAAATAAACATGGTAAACAATCAGGATTATCTTCTTGTGATGGTTTTGCAAAATCCCATGACAACTCCTCATATTTAAGACCCAATAGAAGAGTCTAAAATTTAAACCGAACTCATAATAAAATATAACATTGTACATCAAACAAAAGAATTTATAATTTTAATAAGATGCGGCACTTACACACTGTACATTATCTATTACATAAACTCCTTGAGCATTGATTGCTACAAGTACAGAAATATCTTGATGTGTAATAAGTGAAGTTAAGTCTCTCACTGGTTGTTCTACCTGCCCTTGGAAGAAAGCAGCCCTGAAATATTAAATGTATATAGTTAAAAAGTTATATAACTGAAATAAAAAAATAATAATAAAAATGAAATAAAACTCACCCATAGTAAGGCAGAGACCAGCAAAATTCTAAATATTTCCTAACTAATTTTCTGGATGGAGTACTAGAAGGAATACGTTTGAATTGTTCCAACAATCGAACTTCTGGAGAATTTTTACCACTTATTCTCAGCCATGACCAACTTGATCTACTTACATGAGCTGGTAAAAATTTATTTTGTTGTTCCCTACATTTTCAAAAATTAATTAACACTCTCTTTGTACAATTAAACAATTTTTAATTCATCAAAACCGAATACAATCAGGAACATATGAGGAAAACGTTGGGGGTCATTACCCCTATGATGTTCAATTTCATAGAAAAAGACTTTTTTCAACAAAACAATTGAAAAAACAAAATTGTTATATTAATAAACCTTTCAAATTAGCCACCTCTTATATAAATAAACTACTTCATTTTTGAACATAAATAATTAATAATGTTAATTCTTTTTTGCCATTTGCAAGTTTAGTTATAATTTAACTTGTGAATGGGTGATGGTAACCATATTTCCCCTGAGAGTTTAATTTTACTATTTAATGAAATGTTGCATTTTACGTTTTTTGCCTTTTATCTTTTTGTGCATACAGGTGATTTGAAGTCGCTCTTAAATATATTTAGGCTATGAAGACATGTATCCCCATATATAAATAAAAATATTGTGCATAATTATCATGAGGCTTTAAACTCTTTCTTTATTATGAAAAAAGGATAACTATCATCAACAGAAAGTCTACATATGTTCCTGATTAAAAAATATTCTTATTTATATTTAATTTACCTGAAAAACTGAGTAGTATGCACCTGTGGAATGTATGGACCTAATTCAATGCGAGCTTGTATACCTCCCAGCATTATATAATGTGATACTTCACATGGATATCTTCCCTCTAGTATATTGTACTTCGCTTCCTCATATAAGAGATCCAGTAGTTTTTGGTCCCTATGAAAAAAGAAAACATTAAGCAAGTTACTAAAAAATATATATTAATAGTACTAAAATATTTTCAAATTATGGAAAGAATGAAATTTGTTTAGAGAACTAATACCAAAAAAATAAAATTATTTCATATCAATGTTAATTGTTTGCAAAAAACTGAAATTAGTGAAAACTTACTTTATCCGTTCCTCTGCTCTTCTTGAAAAGAAAACATTCCTTTGAAAGGAGAGTACTGGCTCATCTCTCAGAAGACGTGCTTCAGATGCTGTGCTGTATTTATTTGTAAGAACTCTCCATTTCTGACGTATTTCATACGGTTTATGGTATGGCTTTAATTGAAGTTCTGAAACATATTACACAAATAGTGAACTTCATCTCACAAAACTCTTTGAAAAAGTCATATTAAAAAGGACAGGAAGGTTTATGGACTACAATTTTTTTCTTTTATTTTTTAGGCAAAAAATATGTTTGTATCTGTAAGAAACTAAAGATGTAGTTTTAGACAAGAACTTAGATGTGTATTTATATAAAAAGAAATACTTAAACAGTAAAATACATGTGAATATTATGATTGTCAAATTAATATTAATAACTTAACAAAGTATCCTTTTTTTGACAATCAATTAACAACAAAAAGGGGCCATTATTGTTCATACAATGTTGAAATATTTTGAGTGATATTTACATCTTCAGGTTTATACAAATAATAATTGACATTCTTATGTCTGAAAATGAAATATTCTAAAAACGTTTTTATACTTACTAATATGTTCCGTTTGCCTATATAGTTTTATAAGTGTACTTATGTTTGGTCTGTTTCTTCTCCCTTCCACCTGATTATTCTTATATTACTTGTTTTCATTGTCGCCTTTTCAAATTATAATGTCTTTTTTAAGTTAATCTGCTCCCTCTCTGTTCATGCTTGTCTCTTCCTTAAAGCGAGGATGTATGGCTTTACAATGGGAATTTTTCCCCCTTTTTTGTTTTTGGATTTATCCTTGAAGTTTGTTTTTTTTGGGGGGGGGGCTTAATTTAGCATGTTTCAGTAAGTTCTCTCCCATCTATTTATATATTTTGTATTTCCTACATATTTTTTCTCTTATACTTATTTTTTAGACAATTTTATCTCTGATAAATATGTGAATCTTAGTTTTAATTCTTTCATTTTAAACAATATCATCAAAATTGTTTGTAATTTTTTCATCTCCAGACATAATTCAATTATTTGTATACACCTGAAGCTGCTTGTAAATATCATGTGAAACATTGTGTGGACAATTAAGACATTTTGAAAAAATGTTAATTCACTATTACAAAAGGAAAAAGATACTAGTGTTAAATTATCAAAAAAATATATGTTCAATTCTACAAGCATTTTTTTTAAAATTTGTACTCATATAAATGATTATTCTAATATAATTATTGTATTTTAGATAAATGTAAATGATTTTTTCCAGAGGGTGCTCAACATCATTTAGCACTGACAAACTTGCAGTGCCTAAACCAGACCCTGATCACTGCAGCTACTCAATTTATACATGAAATATTAAGCAACCTTGTCAATATCTTAAATGAACTTCACATATTTTTACTGATTTATTCAAAGCATTTAACAGAATAGTATTGCACACTTTATTACTAAAAAAATTGAATGCATGGGAATTAGACAAGTCAACTTAATGAAATCATATGTAACAGAACATAAACAATAGATAGAAATATTTTGGGAATCAAACAATAGGCCTACTATTGACAAAATTAAATCAATATGCATGTGTTCCAATAGATGTGTTACAAGCAATAAAATTAGGACTTTTAGTATCCTACTTTTAATGTGTATTAATGACAACCCCTTACCATTGCTATATACTAAAATCTGTACAATCACTGGTATATACACCATCTCTACTACTAAAATCTGTAGGAGAGAGAAGGAAAAAATAAACAAAAAACCTAATTTCTAAAAGAAAATAGATCTGTATTATTATTCAAATTCTCAAAACACCTAAAAAATAACAACCTAATCTTAAATAAAGCAAATGCAATATTTTTCAATCATCAAAATAACAGCAATCTCGATGGCAATAATACAGTTAACAAACTGTAAATAAAACTGCATTTTAAGATATTACAGTGAATTCACAAAGATGAAAGATGTGTAAAAAAATGTAATAGACATGTAATATTCATAGTATGCAGTTAACTCAAATCTCATCTATTTTGATCGTTTCAAAAATGCAGACTGAATACCTTAAACCAATATTCTATGGAATCATATATCCACATCCTTAATATGGAATGGAAATGTGGTAATATTAACCAGGACTTGTTTTTGTAAAATGGGCATTAAGGCTTATTTCTAGGCTAAAAATCACACAATTGTACAGGAACTATTACACTGACTATTAAATAATTTCTGCAGTAACACTACATGCCTACAGAATAATATGGGTACTTTTAATAAATCATCCCATAATAAACTTAACAAAAAATTATAAAATGCATAATTGTACTCTAGGACGTAAACAATTATAGGGTGTACACCAGCAATAAATACCATCAATAAAGTATATGGGTCAGTATTACATTACAGTAGTATAATATAATAGATTACTGGACTTCAACAAGACCACCAAAGGTACAAAAATTCAAAAACTATTAAAACGTTGAAGGTGGTATTAAATCAAAAACTAACACATGCCACATGAAGGGCAAAATGATATTATTATTGTACAATAGTTTAGAGAAAAGATACATCATAACTCATTAACTGTACAGATAAACTTAAAATACGTCTTGATTCTCTGACAACCAAATTTCAACTCCCTTTTCGTACAACAGAGTTGCCAAGTCATTCAACAGAGTTGCCAAGCCACAGTACACGTATTTATACATATACTGTGGTTGCGCGACCTCTTTCTTTGGCAGAGAAACACAAAAATTCCTCTTCCAACGCTAACATTATGTATATATGTTTTATACTTACTCATATGTTATGTTATGTACAATTAGGTATTGATGTATATACTTTATTATATATATAATTAAATATTTTTTAGAAACATAGACTACAATTTAAAAAAAAAAGATTACTTGAAAAACTAAATTCTTTTCATTAAAATAATTGATGAATAAACAGGAATGCTTAATTTGAAAATTTCCTACCAATAAAACGTATTTGCATTTTGACGCCCATCCTTTCACGGCTCATAAGATAGTTCTGTATGGGTGAATACAAAACCATCTTAACCCATAAGATTAATAAATTGATAATCTCAAAACTTGTCTTGCCTTTGCAAACTAGGCTAGCATCACAGGAGATTGGTATTGACTGTTTATTATTTCCTGTAACACTTTCTAAGGGAAAATTTTCAATTGGAAGGGATCTAAGTTGGTGTAAGTAGATGAAACAACAGAAGCACATTACCCTATAAAATTGAGTGACTTTATTGATAGTGTTAATTTATTATTTAGTTAATTATCTTAAGGGTTCTGTCAGATTTACTACAAAAAACAATAGCATATTTTGTTTGGGTAATAATATTTAAATTTTATTGCTTTCAACCATACCTAGAATACTAGAACTCATCCAGAGGGAGAACATACTCGCAGCTAATCGTGGCAAGGCCAATTGTTCCTCTTGCAGAACACACTGGAGTAAATCTTGAGCAGTAGCATTGGCACCATCTTCCAGCTCCATATGAATTACAACCCGTGACATAAGAAACACACATATACTCAAAGCTGAAAAAGATGCAAATAAAAGTGAATGAATTTACACATTTAGAGAATTGACGGACTATACTTTTACAAACCCCTTCCATAATTCTAGAATTAACTATTCAAAAATTGCATGTTGCAAAAAATCCAATAAGTAGCATGTCAATTTTTGTGACATTTTAATAAAAATATACAATAATTAAGTTAAAAGTAACAATAAGAATTGAAAAACGAAATTGGCTAAGAGATAAATTATATGATAGTCCCCTGCTTATTAGGATATTGCAACTGAAGAGTACATTTATTTCCCATATTCCATGGCTCTATTTAACTATGTATGTGTGGACTACTACTATGTGCCTCAAACTTTGTAATAAAGAAGAGGTAAGGGATTAGCTTAAAGCTATGTCATGATTCTATGAGAAAATTATAAATTACAATTTTCATTGTGACATAGGCTTACATTGAGAATTGGAAATATTTGTTGTATTAGTAGGCCAATGTATTGAATGAAAAGTAATTTAAATATATATATTTTAATTGAAATTTTGTGAATATTTTCATTGAGATTTATCACACACAAAAGAAAATAGAATTAATTGTTTTTAACAGAAAGTAGTTGCAATAGTTAACATAAATTTCACAAATTGTCAAGTGCAAATTGAACTAATAAGTGTATACTTATTCTTTTTCTCCTCTGTGAGTGAATTTCAATTTATTGATACTTTACAAACCAAGCTATAAACAATTTTTTTAAAACAAGGCAGATGTGTTCCATAAGCTTTACTTCAATATGAAATTTTCATGTGCTAACTTCAACAATCCTTGAAGCTAAAAATTCAAAACTCATATAATTTATTTACTCCAAGTAATTTTATTAAATGTCTTCCAGACAAAATCAGAAATTCTAATGGATATTGAGACCCCCAAATAAATGATAAATATCTCACATTTGTGATGATAATAAAATATATGCAAAATATGCTTGTGAAAGTACAGGCAAAATCTAGACGAGTTGTGAGAAATGATACATACAGAAAAAGAAATCAAATGTGAAGAAAGCAACCCTCAGGAAGAGATGTACACAGCAATGTTACCCATACGTTGCACTGGGTTCATTTCGTTGTGGTGTGATTCACTCATCTGCATCTCCAAATTTGTATTTATGGCATTTTCCTTTGACACAGGCAGACCAGGATCTTGACAGGCTGCTGCATGAGAGTTAAGAGATTTCTCCCATTCCCTTTCTCTATCCAAATAACTTGTGCTCAAATGGGGCTTCTCTCTTTCAAATCTTTTAGAAACAGTGTACAATCGACCTCGATCTTCATATTGAGCTTCTGGATTCAATTTATAGTCACTACTGACGTAGTCATCATGAGTGCGTTCTCTTAGATAATCACTGAAACAGCATGCCAATGCAATTAGAATCTTATGAGGTAATAGAAATGATGGAAAGAATGTAATTTTAAGATCAGAATGAAAAACAAATATGTTTGATGACGAACTTGGGATAGACATAAAATGGTTTCTACTGCCATAAAAAATTCTATTAACTTTATCTGAAAAGAAAATTTAATTTTCAATGGCCGCATAAAGGAGGAGAAGAAACAGCAAGATCTTGTACCACCACTGTTAATATTTATATTAACTTAGTATTCTATATCTAAAATCTTCTTTTGTAGAAAGATGTAAGAGAATTTGGCTTACTTATAAGGTTCTACCATGTATTCTGGGGGTTGGGGATAAACTCGAGACCGAGGATATTCGACAGGTATAACAGTGATGTAGTTCTTTGCAGTATCTCCAGGATGACTGTCCATTTTGTAAGGTTCTCCCATGCATGATGACATGCCTAAACAAAATAAAACAATATTAACATTTCATAAAGTAAGGCAGGAAATTGTTTCATAGAAATTCATCAATACTATCAACTAATTCATAAATGTGAAAATAAAAATTCTGAGAAGCAGATCAGAGACAGAATTTCTTGCAATACTCTAGTAGTGAAGAAATCAATGTATTTCAATTTAATATCCTTTGTAAATATGGTAAAAATTATTTTTGTTATATTCAATACATACAAATTTTCTTACCTTTCTCTTTATCTCTTTACCCTATTTACCATTAATATGTTCCTTTGCTTAATGTACTTATAAAATTATTTCTTGAATAAAAGTATGTACTAACTCAATTTAAAAATATTTTTTCATGCAGAAATCAATGTGAATTCTGATTCAGAATTCTTTAAATGTCATAACACAAAATATAGAAAATGGTTCAAATACACATATCATTTTTATTTTAAAGTTAATTGACCATAATTTACTAGCTTTAACTGATTAATTAATATAACCACAGGCATACTGTAATGATAAGAAGAACTTAATATTTTTATATTGTATCCATTTGTTAAGTATTGCACATATATTCAAAGTTGTATGAAAAAAATGTACATTTTAATTTTTATGATCATTCCTTAAATCATTTTCCAGATTCTACAGGCTTCCACAATAATTTTTCTTCACAGACATATGCAAATTCACTTGGAAACTATTGAGATTGCATGTAGGTTTCAAATAAAAATTAGGATAAGAGTGAGATCGCAAGAGACAGAAAACACTTTGTCGGTCTTCATGTTCATCAAAGCATTTAATGTCTGAATAAAAATTACAAAATTTTATTTTAATTTATTCTTTCAGAAAACAAAAATTAAAATCCAAAGGGAAGTATTCCTTTGAAATTAATTAAAATTCCACTAATGACAAATTTCATGAATACTGGAAAATTGTATAATGTTTACACAGATATAAAACATTTTTTTGACTGGTACAAACTGCTACACACTTTCCATTCATGACTTGAAACTTTAAATGTTCTCACAGCTTTAAAGCCACAAGGTAAAATACACAGATTGAAAATAAAATTGAAATTATTATATGGGTCAATGTAGTATAGATATTTTTGTAGTCTTAAAAGACTTTTTAAGACTAATTACAACTTATCAATTGTTTAGTGCTATTTGAGATAATTACAATACTAGAAAATAACAAAATAATTAATAAAGATACAACCTATATGTTTGCTACCTCCATGATAATAACAAAGATGTTTATTAAGAATTATCTTATTTTAAATTTCTATCGTAAGTTTTTCATCAAATCAATTTCTGCTGATGTGAAGCTTCAATTTGAATTTTCTAACATATGCCAGCAATTTTTGTATTATTATTTTTTAATTAATTATATTTTGTGAACAATTTATAAACTATGCAAATGTTTACTTATAGTGCATCTGAGAAAAGAAAGGATCTACACAAATCTTCCAAATATTACTGTTCATTGTGGAATTATACCTGTAGCAATCTGGACCCATTTGTTCTTTGTTTCAAATAGCTTGGATAACACTAACTATCAGTAATTAAACAATACATTTTATATTACAATTGTATGTATAGTTTTTCTCATGAAATTATCTATTCATAATTGTTTTCTGAAGATCATAATTCTTCAGCAATCATTTTATTTAAGTACATGTCTAATCAAAATGGAACACCCAATTGTAAAATGCTTTTATATTTACTTCAAATAAAATTACAATTACAATTAAATATGACTTAATATTGCAATGATAAGAATAAATTAAAAATTAGTATTCAGTATTCTTTGGCTCATGTGACAAAGGAAAAATTTTTCTTCATTATCACAATTATTATTTTCTTTGAAAACTCAAGAATTTTAATCATTATACCCTCCTCTTCATATTTACTTTCAAGAGTTGCAATTTTTCTGTATTGCTATACAATATTCTTTTCCTGTAATGCCCAAATAAGAGACTGGATTTTTCTTTTTTTAATTTATTTTCTGAATTGAAAAATACAAATGAAAAATATATACATATTCTATTCCATTCTAAGTCATAATTACAATTCATAAAAAAATACAATTTCAGTAACGTTTATTTTGACAAACTAAAAATTCCTTGAACAAAGAGTGTTATTGTTGGAAAGGTTGATAATATCTAAATAATTAAAAAAGAGGGCAATGTCGTCGGGGGCTTTTTATTGTTTGAAATTAAGTCGTATGTTTCGGTTGCGAATCGATCACATTAAGTTCAATAATTACAACAACAAAATTAAATTGCTTATTTTTTATCAACTTATTCATAATTGATACTTTTTTTGTAAATTTTCAGCTCCCGAGAAATTTTCAGCTTTAAACAATTTTTTAAAACAAAGCAGATCAAAAAGTTCTTAAGCTAAAAAAAAATAAGTTAAGTGCCTATACAATATTGATATTTATTTATTCCCTGAAATGTTTTGGAACATAGAAGAAAAATCAGAATTTAATAATTATGAAGAATTTGCCTTCAAAAGAATGCACGTAACAAACTTGAAGTACGTAACGGAAAAGAAACCATCCAACTCTTTGTATATAGTATTTTACTTTGCTTTGACACGCGTCGTAAGTTAGCTCCGACCTTTCTTACCTCGGTGATACGTACGGGGAGTGGAAATTCTGTTGTCGAACGACGTGTTTTCGCGCGGTGTTACGTGTTGTCACGATTCAGCTGGTCTCCGCTCTGCCATGACAAGTGTCCCCGAGACGTCCACGGCGCACGCCCGGCCCGAGCGTTCAGGCTTGGAGGATCGATAACTCGTATCAGTAGGTTTGGGAAAACGTTGCCCCACAAGTTTCCCTGTTTTGGTTTCCGATGTGGTTTACACAATACATACAGTTTGGACATCGGATTGGAACGATATTGACATTTGTACCATCAAATTTAGGAGGTCATGGTGTCATTTCCCCATCCAAGTCCTATTTCCTTCTGAATAAAAAATTGTAACGTTTTATACCATATTTTAATATGTATACCAGTATGTGTTGTTTTACAGACTGCCCTAGAGTTTTTTGTACTGACAAGGTAAGTAATAATAAGTCTTCACCAGCCTAAGGTAGTGAAATTAATAGCATAATGCAAGTAGAGCATTCACTGCCGAAACATGTTTTGGTAGGCATTGTTGGCAATATACGAGAATGGCGAAGTCTATATGTAAAACAACGAGCTACCGTATCGGCAGCACATAAGCGACTCCGACAGTTCGATGCACTGTTCTCAAAATCATGAATGATGAAATGCATGAAATCTCAAAACATTAATACTTATTGACAGACAATGACATCTTGATATCATGTTCATAACCTTCGTCACAACCGGACATTATCGCCTCCGTGATTCCGTATCGTTAGAGAAGCGGCAACATGGAACCCTGGCTGTGAGAAAGTAAACAAATTCTCGTAAGTTGATTGCTTCAGAGCAGGTCACATAACGTAGATTCTAGCACTTGCGGAGAGAACTGTCAGAGTCGCTTATACGCTACTGACAGTGTAGTATATTCTAGTTCGTTGATGTAAAATGAGAAGCGGATCTTATTCTCGTTGTTCCGAAGTTGCCATCCCTGATCTAGCTCTCTAAACAGACAATTCTTTCCAACTAAGTATGAAAATATCTTGATTTCAAAATGTAAGAAAGTAACGAGGCAGTAATGAAATGTTCAAAACAAAAGAATATTTTCAATCGCCTACCTTTCTGAAAAAAAAAATCATTCCAATTATATATTTTATAATTTCATAACTAACCCTCATATTGGAAACAATAGCTACGAACTTCGCAAACGCAAATTATTGTGTTCAGTGGAATCGTAGATCTACTAGTTAAATAAGATATATTTTGCCAAATATTGACCAATGAACAGGTGACTGCCTGTTAGTGACTAACGATTACAATCTTCTTGAAATCTAGTTCTATGATTTCATTAGGGTTTTGGGGATTTCACTAGGGTCTGACAGTTGACTACTACAGTATTATTTTTACTTTTGCAATTGCTCAGTGTCTTATTGCTCTATCAAGAGCTCTGTAGTGTACATATATATCTTGGTTTTGAACGACGTCGCTATTGTTGGTGTCAACAATAGATAATTCGTAGAGCAACGTTTTATTGGCTCCAAATTGTTTGAAACCCAGCAGAATTACAGATGGCGACAACTTGGTCGAACTGCTTCTGAAGTGGATCATCGCATCAGGATCATTGCAAAAGGTGATGCCAGAAGTTCAGGTTTTTTAATGGATGAGTGATCTCCTTCAGTTCAAAAATTTAGCGAAGGAATTGAGTTTCTTTTTTAATATGTTTCTGTGAAACTCTCTTCTATATTGCTAATATTCAATGCGCGCATTTTTTAATCAACTGTTTATTCATGATCTGTTCTTTATATGAACATTCTGTGAATGATTTATAAGTACAGCAAACATGTGTGAAGAGTTGTCCTATGATACCACTTCTCAGTTACAATTAAGTGTTTTTTGAGCTTTATGTAGTGATTACAAATGCGTAATGTTTGTTGCAAAAAATGCGTAATCTGTCGTATTTGCTTCAAGTTATTAACGATTTATGGAATTTTGAGTCTATGGTTGAAATCTAGGGGGTGGTTTTAATTCTTCTGATGTCTTTACTGTTGTGCAGGATTTCACTGCTTGGGGTTTTCGAGTCTTTTTTGATAACTTCTGCTACATTCTTTGATGATCTGGTAGATGGATAAAAGTTCCAAATCATTATGTAAAGTATTATTAGATACATACCATGGTGCATTTGTTAGACCATTTGATTGAAATCTTTGTAGAATTTCAATATATGAATGACTAGCTGTTCCTCAGAGTTGCAATTCGCGGGCCCAAACTGGGTTTAAAATCGGCCTTATAAAACAGTATTTTATTGTTAAGGAGAAAAATATAATTTTCTGACGAACATCCAATAAAGTTTTTTAAGTTACATGACCAATTCCTTTCGATTTTTAGGAT